AACCTCAAGCCCGCATAAGCCCAGATGCAATCTTCAGTGAAGGTGAAAAAATGTGAAACATATTCATATGCAATAAGGCGCGTCAGAGACGCAGGGGAACACTACAACTTAAGAGAATCAGAAAATGTTTTCATTAGTACTAATATATTTTCAATGCGCCTGAAGAAAAAAAAACACTGTTGACAAAACTCTGTTGTGATACTTTTAGCTGAGGTAGCGTCATAGTTTCTAACCAGAATTGCTTTTGTGTTGGCTTGTAAACAAAGCCAGTAGCATGTTATTTTGATCCATTACCATTTATAGAATTAACTAGAAAAATCGAGAGAAACTTTTCAGAAGTAATTAGCGCCAACCCTTCTGCGTGACTCTTGTCCACACTTTCCAGACAGGCCAGTAGTAGTGAATCTTCAATGTATGGCTCAAGAACTCAAGAATCAACTGCGATTGTCAAGGATTTTTGTTCGAGGACATTATTTCACTGATTTCTTTATGAAGGACGCCATAGTGGAAGGCTTTGGGAATTTTCACCGTGTGGAGTTCTTTAACGTGCACCTAAATGATAAATACAACTACACAAGCCTCATGTATTTTAGAATGCAGCGAATAGAATGTGTTCGAGCCTTAAAAAAAGTTTTGTGCCGTTGCGTGTGCGTATTCATTACCCAATGCATGAGTGCCAAAAACTGCAGGCCGTGTCCACACACACCTCTTCTACTCTAACTGCTTTCTACAAATAGAAAATTAACTGGCACGAGAAAGTGGCGGGGGACAGATGATTTATACTGCAATGCGTATATGGCAAAACGCGTTTTGAAGAGTCGGCTCTCGACGTCCTCATGCGGAGTGCGCTGTCACTGTAAAAAAAAAAACAACTAAATTTACTCGTGGCAGCTGCAGTGGTCTAGTGGGTAAGGTACTCGGCTGCTGACCTGCAGGTCGCGGGCTAGAATCCCGGCCGTGGCGGCTGCATTTTCAATGGAGGCGGAAATGTTGTAGGCCCGTGTGCTCAGATTTGGGTGCACGTTTAAGAACCCCAGGTGGTCGAAATTTCCGGAGCCCTCCACTACGGCGTCTCTCATAATCATATGGTGGTTTTGGGGCGTTCAACACTACATATCAAATCAAATTACTCGCGGCAGCTTCATAGGCCATAAAAGCAGGGAGCGAGCGAGCGTCTATAGACCAGCCGTGATCTACCATCCATTTGTTAATATTGTTCCTTTCACAATTGACCAGGTATTCGTGCATGTACTGAAATACAATCTGCCAAACTGTCGAATATTACAGCCCTGATTCATCTTTTTGGCATCACTTAAAGGAGCACTGAGACGAATTTTCAATATTTAGGAATGGTTGTTTTATAGAAGCCGATTGATTTCAAGAATAGAGTTCTGTGTTGTGTGGTAAAGGATTGCAGATATTTTTAATACCTCTACCTTAAAAAGACACTTTCAGTTTCGAGTCAAGTGATTGATTGATATGTGGGGTTTAACGTCCCAAAACCACTATATGATTATGAGAGACGCCGTAGTGGAGGGCTCCGGAAATTTAGACCACCTGGGGTGAAGTCAAGTGGGTGTCTTCTCCGCGACATGACAAGGTAGTGTGACGTTGTAGGAACTTGTCAATTTGCTACGTACTAAGGGCAGATAAGCGATCTCCTCGTGGTACATATAAAGGATGAGTGCATTGTCCCTATTGACCACGACAGTGATTTCTGTGACTCAGGCCGCATGAAAATTCCATTTGCAAACTCGGAAGATCTTTGTTGACTGGTCACAATAATTTCCACTTCAGCGCTTGCCAATCCTCTGCAACGAAAACTTTATAAAAATCAAAGTACCTATCTTATGCATGCTGGCTGACTATTGAGTGGTAAGTGGTAATGCTACTTGCATATCGAGGAAACTAAAAATGTCCCTTTTGCGATGTCTCAAAATTATCTCGGTACACCGGAAACATTTTTTGCGTATTAGTCAAGTACAATTTTTCAATCCAGGAAGTACCACTTGTACCGCGAAATGACGTTAGGTAAGTGAGAAAACGCGCGAAAAGAAAATGTGGGTGGAGATGCTGCTTTTATCTTCTCGCACGAAATCACGTGACATCATGAAGTTCAAACGCATGTACTGAGTCCTACGTAGATATTAATTCATAAAAGTTAAGTACACTGTCATCTGTCAGTGTGATGGACCAAAACACGAAGTTTCAAAAATATTCATCAAGCCAATGTTGTCAAAATACAACACGTTTTCAAAATTTGAGCATCACGATGTTTATTAACAAACTTCAGCTCTAATTTTCTCCACTGATGATGAACTTGTGGCTTGAGAGGTCTCGGTGTGCAGTGTGTCAGTCTGAACTAGATATTGGTTCTCTTTAGTTTACCTTTAAGAAAATATTGCCAAACGCTGGTGCAATAGTCACTGCAAAAACTGCTTTGCAGCAATACTTGATTTTAAATGCCTACAAAAATAGATTTCATGTAAAACATCAGAGGTTCACTGACATTTTAGTCCTCTCACTTCATTGAACTTGGCTTTGTCGTTGACCTCGTCTTCTAGCGACATAACAGTGGTCATGAGTTCTTTTTGGGGAATGGCGTAGCGTTATTATGACCCCTTTCTTGTGCCAAATTTAGGGGCTATCGTGATATTTCTGCGCCAAGAGGGTGAAGAGATCACACAGAAGAAAGGACAAATGAAGGCGCATGCGCCAGATCACCTTAATCCAATCATAAATGACAACTTAACTGAAAAAAAAATACCTGTGAATCGGTCAAATATTGAATACAGGTATCTTTTCATAAAACTTTTCATACTAAGAGAAGGTATTTGATTCAGTAGAAATATCAGCAGTCATGCAGACACTACGGAATCAGGGCGTCGACGAAGAATATATGAACACCCTGGAATATATCTACAGAGGAGCATGCTACTATACTGCTTCACAAACAAAGCAACAGAATGCCAATTAAAAAAGGTGTAAGGCAGGGGGATACAATCTCTCCTATGGTAGTTACCGCGTGCCTTCAGGATGTTTCTGATGCCTAGAGTGGGAACAGTTAGGGATAAGAGTTAATGGAGAGTACCTTTGTAACCTGCGCATCGCCGTTGTGATTGCATTGATGAGTAACTCAGGGGACGAACTGCAACTCATGGTTAAAGAGTTAGACAAGGAGAGTACAATGGTTCGTCTTAAAATTGATCTGCAGAAAACGAAATTAATGTACAACAACCTAGGAAGAGAGCAGCAATTCGAGATAGGTTATAGTGCACTTGAATTTTTAAAAGACTATGTCTATTTAGGAGAGGTATTAACCACAGAAGCGGACCGCAAGATTGAAGTAACTAGAAGAATGGGAATGGGTTGGAGCACATTCGGCAAGCTCTCTCAAGCCGTGACAGGTAGATTGCCACTATCTCCAAGAAGAAGGTATATAAAAGCTGCATGTTGCCGGTACCTAGCTACGAAGCAAAACCTGCAGACTTAAAAAGAGGGTTCAGCCTAAACTGAGGATGAAGCAGCGAGGAGTGAAAAGGAAAATGGTAAGTGTAACCTTAAGAGACAAGAAGATAGCAGAGGGGATTAGAGAACAAACAGAAGTTAGGGGATCTTAGTTGAAAAGTTGAAATCAAGAAGAGGAAATGGACATGGGCCGGGCATGTAGCGCATAGACAGGATAACCACTGGTCAATAAGGGTAACTAACTGGATTCCCAGAGAAGGCAAGTGGGTTAGGGGGAGACAGAAGGTTAGGTGGACAGATGAGATTGAGAAGTTTGCGGGAATAAAGGGGCAGCAGAAAGCACAGGACCAAGTTAATTCACGAATTATGAGAGAGGCCTTTGTTCTGCTGTGGACGCCGTCAGGCTGATTATGACGATGATGATGATGATGATGATGATGATGACGCCAATGGAAGTAGAAAGGGCTATAGATAAAATGAATTCTGGTAAAGCTCCGAAGCCGGACGGGCTTTGTGCTTCGTTTTATGAAGAGTTTAAAAATGAATTATCCCAAGTACTCGCAGATGTCTTCAATAACTTTATAAAATTAATAGCCTACCTGAGGTCTTTTACTGAAGCAAAACAGTTTTGATGGTACCGGAACTACCCGACTGGCTCTCAAGAGTGGAGCCACTGGTCACGTTACTAAAGATTCAATCCGACAATACCAGCACCAGGCTGGTTGACTGAAATGTCATCGTATGTACGTTGTCCATGGAGTGGTTTGACCATCAGTGTTGTTTGCGTTGTATGTTATGTACTAAAGACAGGTATTCAAGAAAAAAATGTGGCCTGCTAGTTCAGTAGGTTAGAGCCTCGTGCTAATAACGCGAATGTCGTAGGTTCGATCTCTGCGCAGGCCATTCGCTCTCTTTTTTATCCCGTTCGTGCCATTTGCTTGCTCTAGGTTTTCGGTTTTTTATAATTTTCAAAGGCTGCTGGCGCACATATTGCACCCAAGCCACTGCCGTCCAACTTACATCGAAAGTACTCGGTCTTGTGCTAAGGTTGTTATTTAAAAACTTCATGTGGCCTACTAGCTCAGTCGGTTACAGCGTCGTGCTAGTAACGCGAAGGTCGTAGGTTCGATCCCTGTGCAGGCCATCAGCCTTTTTTATCCCGTTCCTGCCATTCGCTTGCTCTACTTTTTTGGTTTTTTATAAATTTTAAAGGCTGCTGGCACACATATCGCACCGGCTCACTTTCGGCCACGACAAAGAACGAGCGTACAATCATGTGCTCCCGTGTAGGGGCGGTTTCAGCGGCCCGTGTGTGCCGTGGTATCAGGTGTACCGAAAAGCCAGGCTAAGATTTCCAGGTTGTTCTGCCTCATTCGCCATCAGGTGATTCTGTTTTGCACACCGTTTTCTTGCACGTAAATATAAAGCTAGGCCATATGGAGTGGAGCATGTCCGAGATAGCCTTGCTCGTCTTTCGCTGTTGCCGGACGTGGTAGCCCTTGAGGCATATCAAATGAATCATGTCTGGGCAGTGACGTTCAAGGATGATGAGGGCAAAAAGAAGATGCTGGCGGCGGAGTCATTCGACGTGAAAATTCATCACTGTAAGGTGGTTGAGGCCCATGATCAAGATGTGCGGCTGAAAATGTACTGGCTTCTCCACTGCGTGCCGGGCGAAGATGTGCGAGTCGCCTTAATGCCTTACGGAAAAGTGACCGAAGTAAGCAGAGTCAAGTGGAAGGTGCAGGGTTGCAATGACAAAGGATGAACCACTCGATTCTTTACGGTGAGGCTACACGCGGGCGTTTCCGTGCACGACCTGCCACACCATCTACGTATTTCGGAAGACATGGCGCTCGTCGTCATCCCTGGCAGAGCACCACTCTGCCTCCGATGCCGGGGCATAGGACGATTCGACGGGATTGCCGCGTGCCGCACTGTGAAGCCTATCGACGCTATGGCCACGATGACGCCTACTGCGTGAGGTCATACTCCAACATTACGGACCCAGGCCGAACGAACGAATTGGCTGAACACCTAATGGATGCCATGGATGCCGAAGAAGCGAGTAGGGACGGCGGTATGGAAGGCTCTGCGACGCCCCCTGGTTATTCTTCTGGGGACGCACTGGAAGCGACCGATGAAAGCGACAAGCACTGTGCTGCTCCAAGAACAAAAATAGACACGCCAGCAGTAGACGACGACGCTACAGCAGCGAGCAAGTCATCTACAGCTGCGCTAGAGGACCACCCGAGAGCAACGGACGCCGAGATGACCGAGGCCGGAAATATCGCTTTGAAGCAAGCTCGGGAAAAACCGGACAGTACCGCCAGTGTTGACTCGTCGACCGCCGGGGAACCCCCTACAAAGACGGCGATTGGTCGGCGGCCTACCTTCAAACCAAGACCAAACCCGCCGCGTGACCGCCGGGGCACTCAAACGTCACCTCCCCCGTAGCGGAGGAGACGTTCCGAGGCCTTCTACGGTGAGCACAATCACTGTAGCGGTGTGAATACGACACCTGGTCAAACAACCTTCATGAAATGGCGACTAACTTTAAAACTGGTATTCGCGTTGGGACGTTGAACTCACGAGGACTCTGTTCACGCAGGAGGCAATGCCAGAATAGTCGCATTTTGTTGGAAAACGACATAGAACTCCTGGCTGTACAAGAAACTAAAATGGAAAGGGAAGAACAAACTGAGCAAATGGTTCAAAATTTTCTGTCTAGGTATAATGTGTGCGTTTGTCATGCTGTTGGGCGGTCAGGAGGCTGCGTAGTTTTTATACGTAGTAGTAGCGCGGTTGGTGAAAATAGGTCTACCTGCGATAGCGGTCGGCTGGTTGTGTGTGATTTCATTTATCTGGAATCCGTTGACGTGCTGTGTGTGTTTATGCATCAAACAGATCGCACGAAAGGGAAAGTTTTTTCAGAGTGGTTGAAGGGTTTTTGAAAACAGAGAGGAATGTTGTGTTTCTAGGAGATTTTAATTCTGTCTGTAGAGCTGAAGATAAAACAACGAGCATCAGTATGTGCGATAGAAGCGCTGAGCTGTTGATTACAATAGCGAACGAGAGAGAACTGGAAGATATCGGCTATGTAATGACGCGAGAGGGTGAAGTACGGTATGCGCATTTTCAAGGGCATTCGCACACGAGGTTAGACAGAATATATTTGTCGGCAAAGTTGGCACCCCTATGCTCATCTTACGAAACTCAACACCTTAGCTTCAGCGATCATTGTCTGGTCAAGGTCAAAATCGGGGAAAAACGTAAGGCTGTGAAGTTTAATTGGTATCTATGGAAATTTATTGAAAAGCTGCTGCAAGATGAAATATTTGTCACAAAAACCCAAGAATTTCTTTCAAATACTCTTCGTTTGGAGACCAATAACTTCATAGCTGTGTGGGAGCAAATTAAGTGTGATATAAAGATGGTTGCGATAGAGAGAGCCTGCGTTTTACGTAATACAGAAAGGAAACAAGAGAGGCAGTTATAAAGCGAACCGGACTACATGTTGAGCGCAGAAAAGGAAGTGCCGGGAAAAATTTAAAAAAGAAATAAAAGAGGTGAAAGCAAAGCTAGAATTTGTCGACGAAGAAAAGTACCGTGGAGCAATGATGAGAGCTCGCACTGAACGGCTGTGGATGGGCGAAACGCCCACTAAGCGAGTGCTGAGTAAAGAAAAGAAACATTTAGAAAACAACGAGATAACTGCAACTCGATACCAAAATCACATTCCCCGGGACCACGAAAAGGTAAACCACGCCTTTGTTGAGTTTTATACAGAACTTTTCAGCAATACAATTAAAAACCTCGAACAATACAAAGAGGACTTTCTGGCCCTTATGCCGAGATTGGGAGACTTGGAGTGGGGTGCTACTAAAAGTAGGAATTACTGTGGCAGAAATTGAAGCAGCTATAGATAACCTGAGTTGCGGCAAGTCCCCAGGGCCAGATGGGCTTGGTGCTGCCGTATACAAAAGCTTCAAGACAGAAATGGCACTGGCTTTACATCGAGTTATCAAAGAATGCTACGAGAAGAAGCAAACAACTCATTCTTTTAGGACAGCACACGCAGTATTGCCACGTTCCATTTCCCAAGTTTTTGTTATCGTCCCAAACGCCACACGATTCTCAGCGCAAACCGCGCCTGCAGTTTTCTAGAAGGTTCCGGACTGTAGTAGATCATTTCGATAAGATCACGCCCACTTTGCGAACGGAACAGATTGTTCTGGAAGCTACGCCACCGCCAGCGATAACGCTAGAACATTCGACGGCAAGAGTATAAATGCCGACGCGCTTCGCCGCTTGTGAGTTGTTGATCGAAGGCCGACGCTCCGTTCGCCGCTATCAGTCCGAGACTGCTATCTGTGCGAGACTGCTGCTGTAATTGGACTTTCAGTTTACCGGGCACAGGTTCGCCCAAATAAACAGTTAAATCCCAACACGAAGTCTCCTGTCTTCGGCCACGTCACGACCCCCGTGACATCTGGTGGAGGTGCTGCTTCGTTCATGTACCGGACGCCCCCGTCAAGCCGTGAACCCAGCCCACGTCGCAGAGAAGACACCGACGCCAACCAGGAGCAGCGAACAAGCCGCCGAAACCAAGGGCTACCACCGGAGTACGGGCTTCTACCAGACAAGGCGCGGAAGACGAAGGCCATGACCGCGACTGCAGCGACAATGACAACCGCAGCGTCCCAGCCCACGATGGTCATGCATCAACCCAGGGAACCACCAATTTTCCATGGGTCATCGTTCGAAGACCCGGAGTCCTGGCTGGAGACATACGACCGTGTGGCCGCCCTCAACCACTGGGACCATGACGAAAAACTGCGTCGTGTGTTCTTCTATTTGGAAGACACCGCAAGGACTTGGCTTGAAAATCGGGAGTCCACGCTCCGAACGTGGGATGTTTTCTGCGGCGCATTCCTGCAAACGTTCGCGAGCGTCGCTCGCAAAGAGAGGGCCGCTGCTTTATTAGAGACTCGGGTTCAGCTACCAAATGAAAATGTCGCCATTTTCACAGAAGAAATGACCCGACTATTCCGTCACGCTGATCCAGACATGCCTGAGGAGAAAAAAGTTCGTTTCCTCATGCGAGGGGTCAAACAGGAGCTCTTCGCGGGACTGATGAGAAACCCACCGATAACCGTTCAAGAATTTGTAGCCGAAGCGAACACTATCGAAAAGACCATGGACATGCGCACCAGACAATATAGTCGTCGCCTGACTCCAGAATGCGCTGCTGCTCAAGCCAGAAACTTCGAGGACCTGCGTGAAACAATCCGAGCGATCGTGCGGGAAGAGCTGCGCAAGCTGTTGCCTTCGGCACAGCCTCAAGTGGATTCAATTGCCGACATTGTGCGAGAAGAAGCTCGGCAATCGCTTCAAATTCCCCACGCACCGCTGCCCGAGCCGGAAGCTATGAGCTACGCCGCTGCACTGCGCCACAACGCTCCTCCTCGTCCACGCCAAAACGCCGCCCCATCGCACTTCCGTCGACAGACGCCACCGCCGCCACCACCACCACCGACGTCATACTGTTCGCCAGCGGCCCAGCGCAGTGCACCGAGAAAGACTGACGTCTGGCGCACCCCTGACCATCGCCCGCTCTGCTACCACTGCGGCGAGGCCGGACACACATACCGCCGTTGCCAATACCGACAGATGGGACTGCGTGGCTTCGCCGTCAATGCACCGCGTCCACAGCCAGGAGAACGACCACGTGACATAGCCGACTACCTGACAGGAACTCGGTGGACACCACGAAGCCCTTCGCGTTCGCCGTCGCCCAGCCGCCGCACGTCACCGCACCACCGGCAGTACTCTGGCCCAACGCGGGGCCGGTCTCCTAGCCCGTATCGGGAAACTAAGGGCAGCAACCGGTGGAGGTGCGGTTGCTGTGCGACGAACTACCGAAGATCCTCCGACGACGACGACGCCGCGACGGAGCTTTCCGAACACAACGCAAACCAGGCAAAGCCCTGACGGCGAAAGCTCATTTACCGAAGGTGGCCTGACGACGCAGCATGGAAGCAGCGGAACAAGCCGACGCAGCCGTGACCCGACGCCACGCCCTAACTGTAATGCGAGACGGCGAACTAGCGACCTCGACGTTCTTATCGACGGCCACAGTGTGACCGCTCTCGTCGATACTGGAGCCGACTATTCTGTCATCAGTGGGTCGTTCGCCGCGAAGTTAAAGAAAGTCAGGACAGCTTGGAAAGGCCCTGAAATCCGCACAGCCGGAGGTCATCTCGTAACGCCTGCAGGAATCTGCACAGCGAGAGTCACCATTAACGGCCGTATTTATCCTACAGACTTCGTAGTCCTACAGCGTTGCTCAAGAGATGTCATCCTTGGCATGGACTTCTTATGCCTCCATGGTGCTGTCATCAACCTAAAAACAAAGTCGATAACGTTATCCACTGAAGAAGCACTACCGCCGCACACGCCGTCAGGACACCATGCCTTGAATGTGCTGGAAGAACAAGTCACCATCCCGCCTCGCTCAAGCGTCATTATTTCAGTCAGCGCTCCTAAATCACCTGACTTCGAAGGCGTCGTTGAAGGCAGTCAGCATCTGTTGGTCACCCGCAATATTTGCGTCGCAAGAGGAATTGCAGAGCTGCGGGGAGGCAAAGCAATGGTTATGCTCACGAATTTCAGCAATGAGTACAAACATGTGAACAAAGGAACAACGGTCGCATACATCGAAGAAATTGTCGAAGCCACCAGTGCTTTCGCCCTCGCCGATTCTGC